GCGCGACTACAGCTACGCAATAGCCTATGCCGAGGACCTCCAGAGACAAGCGAAGCGAACACGATCGGAAGAACAGACAAGCAAGTGGAGAGAATTGTCCGAGAGGCTGAAGACAGGATTTGAGAAGGGTGATACGGTATGGCTCTACATCCCGAAAGTCCAGACCGGATTGAGCCGCAAGCTGGCTCACATGTGGCATGGGCCGTTCATGATCGAAGAGGTATACGATGACTTCAGAGTGAAACTCAAGGTGGAGGACGCAGGATATCGTGTTAACCCCTGGGTACACATCTGCTGCCTCAAGCCTCGCGCTCTGTTTCCGAAGCGACCTACCGCGGAACTCGAACTGGATGATGACGACGATTTCGATGCAGCCCTGCTGCCCGAGGACTGCTGGGAGCCGGACGAACAGAATGATGAGTACGAAGTGGAAAAGATTCTGGACCTCCGGTGGGCCAAGCGCACTCGTACTTCCAAGAGATTCCGCGAGTACCTGATCAAGTGGAAAGGATACGACGATCCTGAGTGGTTACCAGTGACCAGGCTCAATTGTGGTGCGCTTCTGTATGAATTCAATCAGAGTGCCCGTGCTAAGGCCAGGTTCCATCTATGCAGGCTGGTGATGACCACCCCAGTGTCTAGTACACTCGATCCTGACCGCCGACGTGTGACCTGACTGAAACTGAATGTGATTTTGATTGTGAACTGTCGACGCTGAATTTGTGGAGAATTCGAGTGGAGTAGTGGAAAAATGAAGATACCGACTGAATTGACCAGTGACTGCGCCCCTGAATGGAGTGAGCGACAGAATGACGAGCAGACGGACCGAATGACATAAGTCTAAGACGAAGGAGTGAGGTGATGAACGTGAATGACATGAAATTGTGGAGATTAGCTTGTGGCTACACCGAGTGTGCAACTAGCTACGGTGATCAGCGCAGACCCAGTTGTTGGCACGCTCATCGGGAGACAGCAGCATTTTCCGGATGTGCGCCGGACGATCCGCGATGATCCTATCCAGGGTCCACCCTGTCCACTGGATGCGAGTCGGTTCTTCACGATCCAGGATCTCGAGCTGCTCGGCCATCGTGTACGACTTCCCATCCGGTTTCTTCTCGGACTTGTCGAACACGATCCAAGGACAGACCTTCGCCGGATACACCCAGATGACTGGCTCGTACAGGATCGTTTTTGGGGTCCATGCGTTCAGAAGTTCGGCGGCCAGCTCGGCGTACTTCTTGATGGCAGGATCATGCAGACTCTTGCGTTTCTTTTTCTCCTTCACCCCATACGACGAGTCCTCCGGATAAGTCACCCAGTGTCCCGCGTACCAGATGACCAGCGCGTTGTCCTTCATGAACTTCACGATCTTGGTCAGCACGACGTGGACCTTCACTCCCAAGGTGTGGAAGATGAGGTTGATGACACGACGCTTGTACATCCGCTCACCCGGTCGGGTCTCCATAATCGCCCGGTACTCGTCCACATTGAAGCGATCCTTGAGTGGCCCCATCCCGCCGTTGTGGTTCGGTGCGTAGTCAGGAAAGCCTGCGGATTGATAGACGACGTAATTCGTACTGGGTGCGAAAGTGGCCAGGATGTCCTTGTGTCGCCATGAAGTGATCCCTCGACCCGGTTCCTTGATCACGGCCAACTCTTCAGGAGTCAAATCTTTATGTCCTTATGGGCAAGCGGAGACTTCTTGCGTTCGTCACCAGGTCGAGACTTCTTTCGTTTTTTGGCGGACCCACTGGTGACCGAGTCAGATTGAGACGATGCCCATTTGTCGTGCGCTTGGGACGACGAGTCGACGGCAGAGCGACATCTGGTGCAGTGCTGTCGATCACGAGACTCCGTTACCAAGCTCGCCCGTTCCGAACGCCGCTCTGGATGCGCCGCCCAGGGTGGCCACCTCGGAGGACCCCCAAAATGGTCATCGACCTGACTGGTCCTGACGAAGATTCCGGAGAGCAGGCGTCCGCCGCCCGGATGAAGGAGTTCGTGGCCGACCAGGTCCGCCGTTGGGAAAGGGTGACGCTCGAGTTCGTGATGTCCCCGACTGTTGAGTACACATGGCCCAGCCCGACACCCGACTTTCAAGCGTGGTGGACGGCAGCCATGGCGACGTCCCGATACGTTGCGGCTCGTTCGACGATGGGCTCGTTCGATGATGATGCACCCGAGTGACAACTGGATTTCGGATTGGAGCTTGGTCCGACTGTCTCCGTGCACTGCCGCGGACGCCACTGCGGCCATGATTCCCATGATCACGCTGTCACTGCGCGAGTGCGCCGCACTGCTGCAGACGCTATTCTTCGAGGCGGGATTGAGGTTTCGCAACCTGATTCCCCAGTGGTTTCAAGCACGGGCTCCCCGGGTGGAGCCGATCATGGTGCGGATGCTCATGCAGGAGCTTCAGCAACAACTGGCTGACGAACATTCGGAATGGCGAAGCGTCGCTGCGGGCGTCCCAAATCGAGTCATACCAGCGCTGGACGTTCATGCACTGGGGGATGCTGCCCTGGAAGCGGTCAAGGAGGAACACCCGGACGACGACGTGCCAATGTCGACCCGGGAAATGGACGTGCTCGGTCGAGAATGTCTTTTCCGGATGAGGGTGGCTGGAGTCCGGCCGACCCGAAGTCCGGCGAGTTCAGCTGTGGGCCGCCCAGAATCTAAGCGTCCGCAATATGGCCCGCCACGTCCGTCGTCAATCCCGTCCATGAGCTCCCACTTGTCCTACCGGTCTTCCATCCCGGCGAGTCAAGATGCGGACGCTCTGAGCGTGCGGATGTCTGTCACCCAGAGTGCAGTTTCCCGACGAAGTTCAGGACGAGAGTCAAGTCTGTTTGGGACGACGGCCGCGGATTCGGAGGAGTCGAACCCCAGCGCCACGTCCGGGTTGCGCTCGCGGAGCCATATTCGTCGTCGGGATCCTCGCTGTGGTCGCTTGGCGGAGCCATCGGCGCTCACATGCCGTATGCCGCTCCATCCGGAATGGTCATGACCGCCCGAAGTGGCTCAACCCCCATTCAGGGAGGCTGGGGCGTGCAAGTCACGGAGACGGTGCTCCCTACACCACCAGTGCCGGTGAACCAGGACGATGTCGATATGTCGGAGTCGGGTCACACCAGCATTCGGAGTGGTCACAGGTCGAGGACGTCCCGGAGGCACACGCGCTCCCGAAGGTCAAGCCCAAGCAGCTCTTCCAGCGAATCCAGCTCGGAGGACGAAAGGCGCCGTGGCCGCCGAGGATCCAAGCACCCTCGCCGTTCCAAGCGGTCGCCCAGTCGATCCGTGAAGTCCGGATGGTCAGTTCACTCCTCTGCGTCGAGAACCTCCGAGATAGCGCTGACCATGATACGAGTCACGCAGGGTGCCATGGTTCGGGTGGATGCGAGTGTTCAGGAGATGAAGCAACAGCTACAGGATAAGGACAACGCCTCGGACCGGAAGCCCGAAGCCGCTGACGAGGGGAAGCGAACCTTCCAGACCTACCAGGCCACTCAGCTGCTGGTCGACCGGGAGGATGCCCTGGAAAACCAATGTGCCCTCGACACACAGGCCCCAGTTCAGGTGATCATACGTGAGGCGACGACGGAGAAGGCCCGCGAAGTCGTGGGAGCTAACCAGGAAGATGCCTTGAAGCGTGCGCGAGAAGCCGTGAAGGCGGAGCGCGCGCAGGAAGAGCATCTCCGGTCCGAAGCTGAAGCCGCGAAGCTGCAAGTTCAGGAGGCCAGGATGCAGAAGACCCTGGAAGAGTAGCGGAGATTACTGGAAGAACAGCAGAAGCTCTTCGACCGAAGGATCGCTTTGCTAGAAGCAGCCCAGTCGAGGGACAAGGCGGCTGGCCCTGACCAGGGGAATGTTTGGAGAACGCGTTCGCGCAACACTCGGACGACATCATCCCATGTTCAAGGAGCTCAAGCGACACCCGCACCTGATCCGACTGTTCAGGACAAGCAAGAGACGGGGCGCCTGACTAAGCACCCAGAATCCAGTGGCGTCATCACTGGATACGCAAGTGATAGACGGGCCAAACCAGATGGCGACCTTCCAGCCGCCCACCTTTAAGCAACGCTGGCGCCGATGACTGGTGTTAAGTATGAGAAGGAAGAGTCGACGCCCAGGGTTGTTCCATCGAAAGCAACCCAAGCGACGACCGAGAAAGCGGGATCCAAGCCGGCTGCCTCCTCTCATTCGGAGACCAAGAAAACGGCCACCAGGAATGACTCACTCAAGAAGCAATCGAATAAACGTGGAGACCCCTCGGACGACAGCTCAAGCTCGGACTCGAGCGAGGAGGACTCAAGCGATGAAGACTCCGACAGCTCGTCCGGCGAGGTGACCACCAACGTGGCGACGGCGATGACCCAAGGCGGGACGACGATCATGTCGTTCAGGCCGTATGTGAGCTGCAGCGCTCTGGAAGACTTCAACGAGGACGATCCGTTAGCCGTCCGGCGCCTATGGTGGGAGAAGTTCCAGAACCTCGCGACGCAAGGTGGATGGTCCGACAGGATGCGAGTCTGCGAGTCTCTTTCTGTGAGCAGCATCGTGAAGAACCAGCACAAAGGCTGGTGCGTGGCCTGGACGGCGGCGATCTTGGCCATGCTCGGTATCTTCTTCATGGCCGAGCGCATGTCTCCGTCGGGTCGCCAACGTCGGCTGCGAGGTGGAGGTAATGGGCGACCAGATCGTGGATGGGCTGGCAGTCAACAAAGGACTCATGGCCGCTCAAGCCATCCATCGTCAAGCGCATCGTCATCACAACGATGCTGCAAGTGCTGCAGCTGACCACGGGCACTCTTCAGCTTCGACGCTTTGATCTTCATGGCCATCAACCATCGCCGCCTGCAACGTTGCGGTCACAATGTGCCACAAGTCAGACTCCCCATTAAGTCATACTCGTGAAGGCACCGTCACTTACCGTGGCGATGGTCCTAGCGCTCGTCCAATGAGACACTGGCCTCTGAGGCTCAGACAAAGTCAGCACTGAGTTCTAGAATATTCTGGTGGGTAGTTTGGGAGCCTTTTGGATTTTGAATGGAATTTTGCACGTTTTCCAAAAGAATTTTGAACAGTGTAGAACTCGTCGAAAACCATCCCTATCCGCGGCAGACAAGCAAATGCAACGACTACACCTTAGCGCCGGTGACTTCGTGTGTCCGACTCTGATCGAGATACAGGATGCACATCGGAAGTACGCTGGACTTGCACCACCGACCGCGCAACTAGACTGTGATGACACGCTTATGGTGGCAGAACGTGTTTGGGTTCCTGAGGTGGAGGTGGCGCTACTACAGCGCATCTTGATCGTCGCGCATTGTGGCAGTCAGGGCCACCGTGGAATTGAGCCTATGATGACGACTGTGACTGAGCTCTTTGAGATCGTGAACCTGGCTCAAGAGTGTCGCCGCGTTTTGAGTCTGCAAGCACGTGAAAGGTGGGAACATTATTCCACGTCTGTGGGGTCCTACGTACGATGCCAAGGAATGCAATGAGCTCCGACACGTTGACACTTGCACATGGGCGACAACATGGGTGCGTGCAAGTGAGGCGAGGCGGGTGAACGCCTTTATCGTCCAGGGTGTATAGTGTACGTCCGGTAGGCTTGGACCCGGGAGGGTTTAGCTTACGGAAACCCGAAACTTACAATGAATATAAGCTCCGGTTGACGTGTGACCTTGTGCAATCCCTATAGGTGTCGTTTATCTTCGGCGGACCGAGTTTCAACCTTGGGAATCGCAATTGATCAAAGATACAGGAATACAGAGAACTTCCGGGCGCTACTCGTTTCGGGAGTCCTGAATGGGAGTGAGATCACGAGCAAAGACCTTCTCCAAAATAACCAATATCAATACAGATTCTGTACACACAATATGCAGCCTGTCAATTTAGGTTGCACCCCGAATACAGGTAAATTCGTGATGCCCCACGCGCACCACTCCTGAATGTCAGGAGAACAATACAGGTACCTTCCTACCACACGCAATCTACAATCGGGTCCTAGGGGGTGTAATGGGCCCCAGTTACATAAGTAGGTAGATTGACAGTACATAAAGTAGTTAAGTCAGTACACGGCTAGCGTGTACTGAAGGCCATCGTGATTGGCTGAATTGGGGAAGCCAGACCCCATTTCAGCCAATCAGGCGTTGACCTGCATTTGAGTGGCTCACATGAGACCTGGGGTAGCCGCCCTGGTCCTAACATAAAACAGAGTTGATTTTACCCAAGACTGACTGCTTGGTCTCACTAAATCCGAGTCTTAACTAAGCTTCTTCACCGCTACGTGTAAGCTAGTAACGGACACACACCTGGCCCGTTACACATGGTAGCGCTTCGTAGTCTTTCCAACGACCAAGACCAAGATGAGCCAAGTCCTGACGTCCGGACCTTCAGGGGCAACCCTGGAGCACGGTGCCTTCCCTCATCTCACGCTCATTGAGTGGGAAGCTCTCCATCGCCTCGCGGCGATGGGCGGAGAGGCTGTTGTCACTTCGCTGCTGAGCTCAGCGATGCCGGAACAACAGCGCCAAGCTGCCCAAGAATTCATGGAACGCGAGCTCGCCGACGCGAATCGGCGGGTCACAACTCCCTCGCGCTCCTCCAGGATCGATGTCGTCAAACCGGAGACGTCCACCTACTCTGGCGTGGACGACGATCGGCTTCCACTGAACCGCTGGTTCCGCGAGATCGACATCGCTATTGCCTCGCGCATGATCGAAGCGTCGGCGGCCAAGGTCAATTTCCTACTCTCCCGGTTGTCCGGGAAGGCCAAGGAGTGGGCCCTCGGCAAGCTCGTCGTCGACCAGAACGCGTTCCCTACGCTGGAGTCACTCCAGAGTGATCTCCGGCTCGCGTTCGAGCCGCCCCAAGACGAGTTGCGCGTTCGCGCGGAGTTGTTCGCTCTCAAGCAAGGCAAGATGTCCATGCGCGACTACGTCCAGAAGACACGACACCTTGCGTGCAGTTAATCCAGCCGCTGTCGTCGCTGCTGAAGAAGGACACCACGTGGTCGTGGCGAGAAGAGTACCAAGCCGCATTTGACTCAGTGAAGAGGAGTCTGTCATCCGCCCCTGTTTTGATGCTCGCGGATGATTCGAAGCCATTCCACGTCGTCTGCGACGCGAGCAACTTTGCCATCGGGTGTGCCCTGATGCAGTTCGACGACGAGGGTCGTGAGCGGGTGATCAGCTACCAGTCCCGCCAGCTCAAGCCGGCGGAGAGGAACTACCCAGTGCACGAAAAGGAGCTCCTCGCCATGCGCTACGCATTGGTCAAGTTCAGGGTCTTCAGGCCTCCAGCGCCAGGCAGCTGACGAAGATGATGAAGACGCGTGTGCGACGTGTGTGACGTCGGGGTTGAACTTGACGAGCGTCGCCCCCAAGATGCCGCTTCGGGACGAGATCGCCGCAGCGTACGAGCGTGACGCGCAGTACGCCAGCATCCTGGCCCACCTCTGCTCTCCAAGAGACGACATTGAAGGCACTATCGCGCTCGATCCGCAGCCACGTCGAGCGATATCGGCTTGATGGCTCCCTGCTGACGTACACCATCGACCGATTCGATGCCCCGAGAGTGGTGGTGCCGAATGACGAAGACCTTCGCGCCCGGATCATCCATGAGTACCACGACGCTCCGATCGGGGGTCACTTGGGTCGCGAAAAGACGTTCGCGGCGGTGGCGCGAGACTTCTTCTGGCCCCACTTGTACAAGTGGGTGCGCAAGTGGGTGCGCACTTGCGAGATCTGCCAGCGAGTAAAGCCCTCGCCGTCATCGCAGGCTCCGCTGCGCCCCATTCCGGTCCCCACGGAAGCCTGGCGCTCCGTCTCGATGGACTTCGGCTTCGGTCTTCCACCCGACTCGAACGGGCGCACGGGAGTCCTCGTTTTCGTCGACAGGTTCAGCAAGATGGTGCATCTCGTTCCCGTGGCTGCCACGGTTACTGCGGAAGAGTCCGCAGCCCACTTCGTCGACGCCGTGTTCCGCCTTCATGGTCTGCTCGATTCCATCGTCTCGGAT